CCTCCTCAATGTCCGTATCATCGGATGTTGTTGCCGCTTCGGGGAACATGTTTATTAGTTCCCTGAAATAAAGAACCCTAACATCACAACCTGTATCTAAAAATTACCCAATCCAACTACTAATGTTGTTGCATCACTCGAAAAAAATGATGGTTGTAAAAATTAATAGTTTTAAATTCAAAAAATGTTGAAGTAAAAATGTACTCACCGCATCCTCCGATTTACTGATCTCATTGAACTTAGGATATACCCAATCCTCCTCAATCCTATCTTTCTAGCGTTATTTGCTACCATATCGTCGCTTTGGTACTCCATTGAAATCTAAACATTTAATGTAGTGGCATTTATTAAATTGTTATATGTTTGGAATAAATCAGGAAATAAATCAGGGAATGAAATGAAAGTAAAAAAAAAAAATCGAATTGTTCCTAATTATTGGTTAGTGTAACAAACGCTCCCCGTGCACATCTTTAGACCTCAACAAGATGACTATTCAATACTCATGTGTACAAAGTCAATAGACTAAGGTCGGTACTAAGCATTGAACGGGGGATTGTAAGCACACAAACACTATAACCTAAGGTACCTGAAGCGACGTCTCTTGGCACACCTATACCTTATTTCAAAGAGTTCTGAGTCGTGGAGACCATCCTATTTCGCTTCAGGTGGGCAATAATTTTAAAAAATGTCTTAAAAAGAATATAAGCTATCGCAAGTAATTAAAAAATTGACTATTAACAATAAAAAGCAGGTAAAAGTAATTAAAAACAAGTATAAGCGTCTAAAACATCGATATTTAATAAAATAGTGTTGAAAGTAGAGGTAAATCACCTGTTAAATTCATTTTGAAAAGTATGTATGTCTTTCTGTAACTACGATAATCGCAAAAAGAGGTTGATTGCTTGTGCTTCAGTCTTTTATGCCGGTGTATATGTGCTTAAGTTCCATTATTCGAAGGTTGTTGGGTTGAAGGATATGTTGTTGCTTGTTTCAAACTTTACCAGCATCGTCTAGTTTCCTGGGTTTACAGGGAATTTTAGGCAGCTTGTGTCCAACTCGTGTTCGTATGGTTTGTATTTAGTAACTCTTGCAACGTTCTTTACTGCTGGATGTAGAGCTGCTAGGATTGACCATAGGAAACACTTTTCATCTGTGTTTTGCACGTTGACAATTTCATTTTTAGCAACAATCCATTCAGGTCCTTTAAAAAACCCCGCTGAGATACCACCACCACCAGCCATTGGTCTATAATCAAACATTTTCACTTGCATCCTTCCAAATTTGTTCAAGACCCAACCACTTCCATTTTGAATAAACGTGTCAATGCCATTGTTCAAAGTTTCTCTGATTTGAGTTGCTTGATCGTTAATGTCATTTGGTGCACGTCTAAGGAGTCTGTACATTTCTGTTCTAAATGTGGTTGGCGGATCTGTGATTGTGTCTTCCAACATCTTTTTGAATTCGACATCTAAGAATACATAGTATTTCACTCCTTGATTGTAATTTTGGAATGCTTCTATAACATTGTCTATAATGTTTCTCGTAACATCGTGAAAGTTGTCTATATTGTCAATCTTTTTTATTGTATACCCTGGATTGTTTTGATTTGCTGCTCTTGCATTTGGTCTGGCACCTCCAACAATTGTGTGATCATTGTGCATAAATCTCAAATGATTGTTCAGTTTTTGTGCTCTGTCGAAGAACTTTAAGCAAATCCTGCATTGGTATTTGCTCTTTTTTGTGTTATCTTCAACACCACCGTCCACCCCATCGATTTGTTAGTTAATCTGTTGCAATCTTATGCGTATAACGTCATTGTCTCTTTGTTGTTGTTGGGGATGTTGTGGAGGTTGTGTTGTGAAGATTGGTGAGAAGGTTGAGAAGGTTGTGGGGGTGGAGGACCTCCTCCTCTTCATCTGATGAGATGGTGATTGGTGTTTGTAATGGTGGATAAATTGGCGGAACGGGTGATAATGGGGGTGACCATGGTGATTGTGATCTGATAGGTGATGTTGGAGGTGATCTGTGTGGTGATGTGGGGCCAGCGTTGATTCTGGTGATGTGGGGGGTGGCGTTGATTCCGGTGATTGCGCTTGTTGTGACCGCTCCTCCACCTCCATCCTCAGGGCTGTTCCGAGGAGGGTTGCCGCTCGCATTCGTCTCCTCCTCCTCCTCCTCGCCAACCTTTCTCTGCGGTGCTCCTCCTCAATGTCCGCATCATCGGATGTTGTTGCCGCTTCGGGGAACATGTTTGTTAGTTCCCTGAAATAAAAAACCCTAACATCACAACCTGTATCTAAAAATTACCCAATCCAACCACTAATGTTGTTGCATCACTCGCAAAAAATGATGGTTGTAAAAATTAAAAGTTTTATATTAAAAAAATGTTGAAGTAAAAATGTACTCACAGCATCCTCCGATTTACTGATCTCATTGATCTTAGGATGTACCCACTCCTCCTCAATCCTATCTTTCTAGCGTTATTTGCTACCATATCGTCGCTTTGGTACTCCATTGTAATCTAAACATTTAATGTAGTGGTATTTACTAAATTGTTTTATGTTTGGAATAAATCAGGAAATAAATCAGGGAATGAAATGAAAGTAAAAAAATAAAAAAATCTAATTGTTCCTAATTATTGGTTAGTGTAACAAACGCTCCCCGTGCACATCTTTAGACCTCAACAAGATGACTATTCAATACTCATGTGTACAAAGTCAATAGACTAAGGTCGGTACTAAGCATTGAACGGGGGATTGTAAGCACACAAACACTATAACCTAAGGTACCTGAAGCGACGTCTCTTGGCACACCTATACCTTATTTCAAAGAGTTCTGAGTCGTGGAGACCATCCTATTTCGCTTCAGGTGGGCAATAATTTTAAAAAATGTCTTAAAAAGAATATAAGCTATCGCAAGTAATTAAAAAATTGACTATTAACAATAAAAAGCAGGTATAAGTAATTAAAAACAAGTATAAGCGTCTAAAACATCAATATTTAATAAAATAATGTTGAAAGTAGAGGTAAATCACCTGTTAAATTCATTTTGAAAAGTATGTATGTCTTTCTGTAACTACGATAATCGCAAAAAGAGGTGGATTGCTTGTGCTTCAGTCTTTTATGCCGGTGTATATGTGCTTAAGTTCCATTATTCGAAGGTTGTTGGGTTGAAGTATATGTTGTTGCTTGTTTCAAACTTTACCAGCATCGTCTAGTTTCCTGGGTTTACAGGGAATTTTAGGCAGCTTGTGTCCAACTCGTGTTCGTATGGTTTGTATTTAGTAACTCTTGCAACGTTCTTTACTGCTGGATGTAGAGCTGCTAGGATTGACCATAGGAAACACTTTTCATCTGTGTTTTGCAAGTTGACAATTGCATTTTTAGCAACAATCCATTCAGGTCCTTTAAAAAACCCCGATGAGTTACCACCACCACCAGCCATTGGTCTATAATCAAACATTTTCACTTGCATCCTTCCAAATTTGTTCAAGACCCAACCACTTCCATTTTGAATAAACGTGTCAATGCCATTGTTCAAAGTTTCTCTG